GTGTAGTGTAAAAGTAGCACGGTTCAGCTATGTGATGTACCGTCCAGTTCGCTTACGCAATCCATCTAGTAGGTTAACTGGCTTTTTTTACGACACTACCCACAGTAATCAGACATATCACTTATCTTCAGTCCATTGTATCACGTAGGCCGCTTAATTCATTAAACAATTAAGCATAAATAAAAATGAAAATTTCAGCGCGTCGATGATTGTTGAGTTTTGTTAATTAAATATAATATTTTAGTCCTCTCACGATACTTTTTAATTGTATATAAGTATACAAAAACTTTTATCAAATGCCAACAGCCGATTCTTTTACAGTGTACAAAAATCATGATTTTAATATCACAACAATACAATTTAATGTAACTTGTGGCTGTGAAACAGCTTCTTCAATGGTAATTAATACATAGATATTAAAAAATACATTCAAGTTTTGTATAAATCATGTGAATAAAAATTAGGTTACATTACATTATGATATCTTAGTTTAAAAAAAACTACTAAAGAAATAAAATAGAGAAAATTCTAATTTACTGCAGTTTTTCAAAAGTGTGTTAATTGAGTTAAATTGTTTTAATCTGAAATTTTTACCTATTCATTGTAATATTTTAATTTGTCATCCATTTTATTCTATTTTTTCTACTATTGTACTGCCTTTTACCTATACTTGAGGTGACAATTATCGTGTGCCTTATTGTTAATTCACCGATGCTCTCAATTAGTAATGTCAAGTTTTTTTGGTACAACTTATTAAAATATATAATAATAATATGTTGCTGCTTAAGCTGAAATTTTCACACATAGAAATTAAAATCCATTGCGTCTTTCATAGCTTCTTGAAGAAAACCTGATAAAAAGCCTTAAATAGGAAATGTATATTTTTAAATAATTGTACATTAGTAATTAAGTAGTTGTCTTTTTATTGCATGATCATTGTATTTTTATTTTATTTTTTCGAAGTCAACTTATCATATCAAATAGCACGGTTCAACTGATATACTAAACCAACTTAAACCTAACACATAAAGCAGTACTTGAAATTAATACGATCAAGTATAAGTAGTAGCCTAGATTCAGGTGTGTTCACAAAATTAATGTTTTTCAAACGGTTTCGCATAGTTGTAATAAATAATAATAAAAATATCCACAAGATGGTCGTAACGGTGACCACGAAAGCCGAAGTTTAGAGCCCTTCAGAAAGTGTGTCGACAGAGCTTTCCTCTCCGCCCCGCGCTTCTGAGATGACAAACCGGAAAACATTATGCATACACCTTATAGAATTATACTTAGAATAAAGCTCTTCATTGAATACAAAATACAAGACTAGAGAAGTTAAAATTCTTCAACAAAATTATGAACCTACATACTACTACTCCTACTACTATCCGTCTCTGTTCCCGCTATCTGGGGTCGGGTCTCCTCACTCTACGGCGCCAGGCTGATCTGTCCTGGGTTGTCGGTTTTGGCAATTGGGCTTTCTTAAGGTCTCTTTCGATGTTTGACAACCAGGTCGATGGCGGGCGGCTTCTACCTTTCTTTTGTTCTGGCAAACTTGATACGATTTTCACTAGAACCTACATATTCCCAAAAAATTAATATTAAGTAGAACTAATGTTCCAAACAATTTAATCTCTGATCGTTGTATTTGCAACCTCATTTTCATGGTCTTAGTCAATCGAACACACAATATGTAGTTTTATTATCTAATGTTTAATTAATTTATACTCCAACCTAAATGTGTATTAATTGAATACCAAAATAATAAGTGAGAGTCCATTATTTATTGACGTCACAGTTTAAAAGTATAGATAATTCGTTTTCATAAGGACATCAGAATCTGTAATCAAACAGTAATCAATCAACGAAAGACAGTAATCAGACTTAATGTTTATTATTAATGTTTAGTTACCAAAAGAATTTTAATAGTCACCGACACTGTCAATATCACTCAATTTACCAATGTCGTCTTTAAATGTTAAGGAACGAAGAAAATGCACTGGAAAGTATGAATTAGAAATGATTCCCACAGTGCGACGTATCTGTATATGGATAATGTACCTGCCACACGAGTAGAACTCTGCATGAGAACTCTGCATCATGTGTAGGTATAAAAAGTCTCTTGTGATTATTTGCAAGAAAAAAGTAATTATCTATGTCTATGCTTTTGCTAGTATAATCCTTTGAATTGCTTTCAGATAAATGAAAATTCGACCTATTTGGTATGTAGGTATACGAATAGATTAAACACTTCACCTAAGAAAGAAGTAAACAAAAAGCCGTTAGGCAAAAAAAAAACACAAAATATCTACAATATTTCTTTATGACATCAACTATCTAATGTTCTATAGTAATTTTATTACTTTGAACAACTGATCGAGTCCGACCGGTCTTATACATTGACTCCTAACGCGTCATATCAATGTGATAATAGACGCTTTCCTTGTCCTCAGTGTAGGTTATTGGTTAACAAATATGGGAAAGTATTACCATTAAACATCATAATAGTAATAATATTTGTTTTAACATAGATTCAGACATAAACAAAATCTTATAGTTTACTACTAATCGGCCAGATGTGGAAAATAGAAAAAAAAAATAAAAAAAAATCAATTACTAACTAACCTTACTACTTGATACAGGTAAGAAAATTGGTCAAACGCCGTGATGAAAGCGGACACGTGAATGTGATCCTATATGTTAATATTTAATTCGATGACCTTCACGCTTTTGGAGTTTAGTGACTTTTCTGGAGGGCAGTGTTCTTTGTGGAGGGGGGAGGTTGCGCAACGCATTACAATAACGCGACGCGACATTACGCGCTGCGCCCGCGCGTGGTCATGCGCCGGACGATTCTGGGAATGCTGATATATGTATTATGTCGGTAACTTACCGGGGTTGCTAATTGAAATATCGCGCACGATCTCAAGTTTTGTTATTTTTACGAATGAACTATTATTATTCATGCTATTTACAGCATGAGGTGCTCGTAGACAGAAATAATATATCTTGCTTGGAAGCCACGTGTGATATGTGCAAATGCATGTGTCTTGAAAATTTATCAAAGTTTTCTCTTGAACACTTTATAGAATATATAGCATAATTCAAATGTAACTAAACGTCGGTTGTATATAAGCGAACACTATTTAAGTGGAACATGCTTATTACACTATAAAAACAAACTTGATTTTTCAATTCAAATAAAAAATAGCCAAGAAATAATTTCGTCCTGTCTTTCCGCATTGCTATTATTGTTCATATTCAAACCACTTCGAAAAGTCACCGGTGGGAGGTAGCGACTTTGTTAAAATGCTTGAGCGATGGCGACAATTTACGATCGATGCGATAGGCTGATAAGGCCTTAATGGTTAAATTATAACATACATTTTAGATCATTCAAACTTGAATGTTTCACAGTCAGCGTCATCAAAGTTTTGCTGGTTTATTATGGAAACCGGAAACATACATACGGGATAAGGATAAGGACATCCAAACGCCGAATGCTAAATATCTCTAGCAATGATAATGATTGACTCCGAACAGATATCGAAGTTAGAACCCACGGCTCATTACTCCGAATGTGCTTGCACTAGAGTCACTAGACCAACGAATCATAGTTATTCAGTATGTAAGCACAATAAATAGATGCCAACCGGCGGAAAGGATATAATCGAAGGAAGGAATAGGAAGAAGAAATCTTCGTTAATGTATGTATAAACAAAGACATCGGACAGGTACGTAGAGATCCGGGAGTGACGGGACGGATAGATTCACTGACCCCACACGCACACATTTTATCAATGCGTGGTCTTTGACCGCCATCTACATGTGAGGGTGCTAGACAAAGCGTTAGATTCGGGTATGTACTATGTATATTCAACTAAAATCATTTTGCTGGCGGAAAGAGACAGGCGTATTCCGTAGCATCGTTCGGCTCTGTGACTCGACTAAGTACTCATTTTAAATGTCCACGCGGCTTTTTTGTTGCAAAGTAAAGTTAGCTCAGCGTGACATACTGTTTTTAGACTCCTTTCCATATGGAGTCTCTCGAAACTACTATAAATAGGAATTCCCACGCGTAAAGATGCATTGATTATAGCGTCGTTCGCTTGTTTTATTTATCTTAACGACGACCCGTTTTACGTAATAGGACCGTTAATTTTAAATTAATGAACTTACAAAGAAATACATATTTTAGAAAAAGCTTGTACTCATACATAATTGAAATGAATTATGTGCTCGTTCACGCACTTGAGCTTTTAATCGTATTTATATCTCAATACTGCTTACCTAACAGCGGTAACGTACATATATTATTTATGAGCTGTTTTAAAAGTAATTCGAACGCGATAAAACAAAAAAAATGCTAAATAATATAGTCGAGAACTAGTTTGACGTGTTGTAGACAGCCTGTCCTAAAACTCTAGTGGTATCTATATTTATCCGGTCGCTAGGTACAAAAAAGTTTATTATAATATCTTCGTAGAGAAGCAGTCCAGTCGTCCACGCAAGGATGCGCGGGCGACGCGCGTTTCTTTTTAGAAAGTGGCACGTGTCGGGGTTGTTCACCCTGTGCGATCCGGGTCAGACACGGCGCTCTCGTCCCGCACCGCTCCCCCGCTAGGTACCTCGCTCATACCGCTCCACACTAGTCCTTGATAAGGGACACATCATTGACACCATAATCTACGCCAACGGCAACTGGGTCAACGGATAAGGCACTCCTTGACGCGCCTACGGCTTGCAGGATCCGATGCTGATACGCTGCGCTATCGGACTGCGAAATTTTTAAGTAGAACATTGCGGCGTCGGCGATAATTTACGACTCTAAGCGGAACGATGACGTTTCACACATCACAAATAAATTATTGTAATTTATTACATACGTAGCTGAGAATAATTGCTAAGCGATGAAAAGTCAGTGCAATCTAACGCACCTTATGAATTTCACCCACCAGAGTTAGATGAAATAACTAATAAAAAAAAACAGCAAATTTCTCTGAAAATAATTACTCGGTTTTAATTAGAAGAAAACATTAAGGAAATAATGATATGCACATTAAATTATAACTGACATAATTAATGCAAAACAATAAAATATACAACGATTAAATAATGTGATGTAGGTGGGCGTAATTACTAATGTCTCTCTTATTTTACGACATATTCCGTTGCCATCGAACAACTGCTACAAATTAAAAACAACTTATACAAAAATGAAGAATAAATAGTTTTTTTTTTTTTAATCACCGATCTTTTTATGATTGTATTAGCATTTGTGATGTTCTCCGTTAGTGCAGCAGAATTCTTTGCCGGCAGAAAAGCTAGTGGGAATCCAGTCGCCGCCACAGTTTTTCACAAACAAGAAGGCCTTTTCCCTATTGACATCGCGTTCTACAGCTCCGCAGATAACTGGACCCGCTTTGGGAAGATACTTCAAAATCTGTTGATGTTAACGACATCTGTGAGTCAATTTACGAAGCTACTTCTGAATTACACAATAAATAGGTAATGCTTCCATTCATGCAACACAGATTCACATTAAAATACAATGTAGCTGGCTGTCCGTGTGATAGTCCGGTACAATATAGTACAACAACGTCCGGCTTATTTCTAACTGGAAAGTATTCATAATATTGATGAATTATATAGAATATTTTATATTATTGAAGCGTTCTATGTACCGGCCTAATCAAAAATCAATTGGTATTCGAACAACTTTAACACAAAATTAAGACTACCTAGTTTTTTTTTTAACGCAGACGGGACAACCAGCTCATAACCGGAGCATACAAACATTAGTACGTGAAAGCCGCTACCCACCTTATGCTGTGATGTTTAAATCTAAAGCTTAAATCTCAATTAGGTATACAGAATTGCCGCTCCATTCCAACTGGAATGTATTACTGCTTTGTTTACAGAAATAGGCATGGTGGAGGTGGCTCACAAGACGCCGTACCACCAATAATTACGTAAATTATAAATTTGTCCATGCTATTCCTTCATCCTGAAAGCATTCGGGGTCAATATGTTGTAAGTACATATTTCTTTAGAAAAATTGGTTCCTGCCTACGAAATTTAAGCACCGGCATTATAGAATCTCTCGATACGAGTGCACCTGGCGTCTTAATCTATAGGCCGCAACAACTTCATATTTTTAAATTATCGATTTAATACTTGAAATGTATGTATTCTCTAAATATTTTAAGAACTTGTATATACTCTATGCTATTGAAAACTTCAAATGTCGTAGAAGAAAAAACGATCATTTATACCGATATTTGTAGGTGTTTCAAGTTAATTTTAATTTTTCACTGGTGGTAGGACCTTATGAGAGTCCGCACGGGTAGGTACCACCACCCCGCCTATTTCCGCCGTGAAGCAGTAATGCGTTTCGGTTCAAAGGGTGGGGTAGCCGTTGTAACTATACTGAGACCTTAGAACTTATATCTCGAGGTAGGTGGCGCATTTACGTTGTAGATATCTATGGGCTTCAGTAACCACTTAACATCAGGTGGGCTGTGAGCTCGTCCATCCATCTAAGAAATAAAAAATAAAAAAAAATTGAAATCAGTGACACTTAGTTGAAGGAATCGAGAAATACGTTTTGCGAGTTCAAGGGTTCGAATTTTAGAATACTTTTAGAACTTACTACATCAAGGCACGTACTGATACAATGCTTGAAGCCACCCGAGCCACAGGGTAGACTGGGTGAATCAGTATCATAAGTGACGACAGGCTCTCCTTGAGGTGGGCCCCGAGGTCTACCGCGTCGACCTTCTTTGACGCCCACTTGCTGGGACATGAACACCCCACACTGACACGGCTCGACCTGTTAAAATCAAATAAGTATCACAGAAAGTAATAAACAAAATATTTTTTTTACGAAACGGCCGTAATTCCTAAAATACTTGGGTAAACTATCACTTCAATCTGATTTTCTACAGTTGCGTTTTGAAGGCTTTGCGTAAGTGTATAGTTACATGACGGTGCCTATTTCGCATCAAGGCCACATGCTCATAAATCGTGATGATTAAAAAAGGAAAACATAAAAATTTCATGTAGGTAACGAATAGAACATACATCATCGTAATCTTCGTCGAATTCTTCGGTGGATTTCTCCTCTTCTATGTCATGTCTCTTGAGTTTCCTTCTAGCTTCAGTCATCACCAAACACAAACACGCAGCCAGAATTATCAGACCCTTGCCACTTTGCATTTTTTCGAGACACTTAAATGTTTTTTTTACGTAAAATTTAAAGTCTGTAAATAAATGTAATAATGAGTAAAAATTCAAAGTTCTTCTTTTACAACTAGGATATATTTGTTTTCAATTTTTATTTATTAAATATGAAATAGGAAATATAAGAGAAAACATTATTATGGGGAAACATTGCGGTGCAAAAAGTATATAAATCCATAGCACACTGTGTGATATATCTTGTGAATACTCTTGTGCTTCATAATACAATAGTGTAAGATTGCTGTAATTATTAAGCAATTTACATAATTATTGCACTCATTGATCCCCAACTACGTAGTAGCTGATGTGATTAATTTGCGTACAAAAAATAATGAAGATTGAAAATGCTATCTAATAATTTCTAAACTATGAATAGTGAAACACGGTTACACACTTATTTATATACATAAATTAACAAAATTAAGTCTATAATTTCATTACTATTACTCGTAATACTAGTAAAATGTTAAAATTTGAAATCACTAACATATGTGGCTAATTTTTGTGTAGGTTAGCTTTGTGTTTTTGGGATGGACGAACTGTTCGTAGCCTGGGGGCTTCTCACCTTCACCTGACATGATTGAATTTAATATTGTTATTCGCTTTGTCCAATCCTCAATCGTCCGTCATGTATAATTTTTGTATGCTATTAGTATTTGTAGCTATTATTATATTTTAATAGAGGAGAAAAAAAATGAATCCCCACCGAGCAGGATGAGAGCAACAAAAAAAAAACTACTCACGAATTTCTCAAGAATAAATCAACCTTGGTTACGGGCTTCTCACATCACAATATAACCTTTTCGGTTTTCTATAAAATGTGACCGTACAAAATGGTTTTCTTTTTATATGAAATAGAATCGTGATACATTCGATTAAAGTTGTTCATAAATAGACATTGTCAGCGATTTTCTGTAAGAACATCCAAACGTGCCCCGATTGTGCGAAATTAATTTATTATTGAATAATGAAGAATGCGATCTACGTGACGATAATATTAAGAGTATCATTTAATTAATATTAATCGTTACAATTTAATTTAAGCCTAATAGTTGTGTTTTCGTCAAAATAATTTGAACTAGCAATTAGGTACCCTCAAAAGTTGTTGACTTTAACATATTTAAAAATCAAACATACTCGTAAATTTTCTGGTGAATTTAAAATATGAATACTTATCAAATAATGTACCTTCAATTAATAGTTTTTGTATAGCTAAAATCGCCGTATTTTTGCATCATAGCGATTACACATTTCGTATTGGGCGCTAAGGGTTTCGTAATGACTTAATTTCGATATAATGGAAAGATTACTGGTGGTAGGACGTCTTGTGAGTCCTGACGGGTAGATGCCACCGCCCTACTTATTTCTGTCGTGAAGCAATAATGCGTTTCGATTCGAAGGGAGGAGCCGCCGTTATTTTTTTCCCTTACCTATGCTAATAGGCTTGAGAGGCTATTTCAACTTCACCTTTACGTGTAGGTGAGCTCACGGGGCCAAAACCGGAAGTGTTGCTAACACTGGCCCTGGCAAGAGCACCGGATCAGAAACGCGACCCGCTGAGAAGATCTGGCGAGAAACTCAGTGGGCTGTGTCTATGGGCTAATTTACTCGACGAGCCCTTCGTCGCAAGCGACGGGTTCGGCGAGGACGGTGACCGATGCTTGAGGTACCTAAAAGCACCGTTAATGGATCGGGAGGATCCATAATGACGTGCTTAGGGCGACGTCGACTGTTTACCGTTCGGTCCACAGGATCGGGTATGGTAACCGTTGTAATGTAAAAACTGAGACATATCTCAAGGTGGGTGGCGGAATTTACGTACTAAATGTCCGTTTACGTTCTAAATGTCATGTCTACGGGGTCCAGTAATAACTTAACACCAGGTCAACCGTGAGCTCATCAACCAATCTAAGCAATAAAAAAATGAATGTGGCCAAAAGGTTTAATTCCACAGATGCAGTAAGTGATGACTGAAAATTCTCTCGGGCTTTAGATGCCCTCATATAGATTTCGAAGCAGGCAGCGGGCACTGAAATCATCAAGTTTCGGTAATGTATTCGAAATACGGCGAGAATTTCAAGGTATATGCATGGGATCCTCAAGGCATTTCGGTACTAGCTAGCACTTACATAAGAGGAACATGGCAGATGACGCAACCTCTCGATTTTGCATAGAAAAGATAGAAACTAAACATTACATACCTACTTTATGATAATGACGGCCTAACAAAGACAAGAATTAACATCTTAGGCTATGATTACTCGGACTATTCTCTATACCCTTTATTATTTTTGCAGGATTCTCGACATCTAGGTAACAGTCTTAATTATGTCTCGGGCTCGCAAAAAACGAAGAAAACACTGCGCAAAATTCCCAAGGGATTCCAATTGATTTCGCGGACACTAATAACTAAGATAAAAATAGATTTCTGCGCCATTTCCAAAAAATAAGCCTTAGTTTATGGTCGAATTTCAAAAACATGCTACAGGAAAATCAACGGATCTTATAAGAAGTCTACTCGGCTCTTGATAAGACGATACGATTCTCACAACCTATCTATATTAATATAATTCTAACCTATGAACTTATATTTTACTTTATCTTATCTCTTAACCTCTTTGCTAACCCGCAAAATTATAATTTGCATAATTACTGGTGGTAGGACCTCTTGTGAGTCCACGCGGGTAGGTACCACCGCCCTGCCTCTTTCTGCCGTGAAGCAGTAATGCGTTTCGGTTTGAAGGGTGGGGCAGCCGTTGTAACTATACTGAGATGAGCTCGTCCGCCCATCTAAGCAATAAAAAAAAAAAAAAAATCTTAGAATATATATCTCAAGGTGGGTGGCGCATTTACGTTATAGATGTCCATGGGCTCCAGTAACCACTTAACACCAGGTGGGCTGTGAGCTCGTCCACCCATCAAAGCAATAAAAAAAAAGACCTCCGATACGGGTGAACATCAAGAAGTCGGTCGTATATTTGTGAACTAAATAAAATAGCACGAGCACATGTCGTACAAAATCATAGCGAACGAAGAATCCTTTGTGGGGTAATGACAATAAAACACATACAAAGAGACAGTAAAGTTTAATAATAAAAACTTACGCTTATTATTGGGACTGTTATTGTACATCGAAAAGATACATCAAAACAAAACAATCACAATCTCAAATACTTTCTCGTAAGAGAACATAACAATGAAATATAACAAAACAATTTAACAAGCAACAAACTAGCAAATGTGACAACCATTTCTTTAGAAAATAATTTAGTTTCACTAAATTTTATCTTATTTTAGGTTGTACTGAGTCCACGCGGTTAGCAGCCACCGCCCAGCATATATCTGCCGCCACGCAGTCATGTGTTCTGATTTTAAGGGTGGAGCCAACGCTATACAATTGGTTCAATTGATCTTGTCTCATGGAGAATCGCGGCATTTAGATTAGAATGACTATGGCTTCTATGGTAACCACAAAAAATTAGAAGACATTCCAAGTATTACTTTTTTTGTATACCGTCTAACAGATCACCCCATGGCACCTGAAGTCGTAGTCTTAATCATATATGAATACCGGTTTTTTTTCCAGGCCAGCTTCCGAACCTCCTACAAGGTCCCCACGCCTGGGGGGCACGCAGGGTGTGTGGGACTTGTTGACGATCTGCAGATGTTGAGAGCAGACCGTGAGCCCTACTGCACTAATAGACTCCCCTGCACTCTTACAGCCGACGTCCGATCTCTGTCTGGGGTCAGAACCCGGTCAGAGTAAACGGGTTCCAGCGGTCAACATTACAACCAGACTCGCGACGCCACCCCTAGGGCGCCTGACCGACGGGTCGTCGAGGCGATAGTCGACGACCAACGACGCCGGTCTCCGCAGTACGGCAAATATGGATAACAGCTACCTCAACCCTTTAAGCGGAATTTTACACAACTGTATAGAGCTATGCCTACAAGACACCTAATCAGCAATGACAAATACATTTTGAGAAGTTTTATCCCAGAAACCGTAAACACTTTAGATACTAAATACATAGAGAATATCCAGGATTGACCACGGCATAATCGCATTACTGTCCTAGAAATGTTTCAACTATTAAGCTACGAACTATTTGCCTTTTCCATATACTACCTATATGTTATCTATCAAATAATATTTTTAAGCTAAGACATTTACCACCAGTTTATATGAAACCATTGGCTAGTGACAATTTAACATTTCTAATAGGCAACCCGTGAGCGCTCATGTCTCAGACACAATAATGGGACCAATTGAGATTCAGACATAATTCCTCTGGGTAATAAGTAGAACAGATTCATCTAAAACTTATTAACTCATTTGTACTTAAAACTAGAAAATTATTTAACGAAAAAATATATTTGATATTATTTTATCAAGGCGTATCATTCACAATAAAACAGTGCAATTTTACGAGAGTGAAAACCCACAATTAAAAATTTGAATCAAAATAGACAATTAATCAGTCTTCAAAATTTTTTTAAACAAATATTGTTCAATATTTTATCACTGGACAGTAAATTGGACAGAATTTAACATTACACACAATTAGTTAATAAGAAAAACATTAAAAGTACCATAGATCTATTTATAAACTAATTGTACTTTGTAATACTTTATGGACTTTAATAATTGGCACATGTGATGGATCTATCACGCAATCCCTTAGAAGGTACATAATGTGACACTGCAGTAATAATATTACCATTTTATACACAATAAATACTTCTATTCTAAATCTTATCAATATAATGTATTTTACCAATAAAAAATTTAAGAGTCTTTAGCTAAAATTAATTTAGCTTCGCCTTCAAATACAACTTTCTTTTCTTCTTCCACAATACAAAAAAATTTCACTTTGAGTATTTTTCTGACATCAACAAGTTCGACGCTTATCGTAAGTTTTTCTCCAACAAAACATTTGTTTGGGAATTTCATTGTTTGCGATACAAGTACTGTGCCGGGTCCTGGTAAATGTGTACCAATGAGTCCGGCCACTAAGCCATTCAGTAATGCTCCATGTACAATTGGCCTTACGTTTCCGCTGTTCTGATGGAGATAATTATGATCCCCAGTCAAATTTGAGAATGCATCCAAATCTTTCTGTGTTAATGTTTTTTGAATTCTAATTTTATCACCAGCTTTAAAAGCTGTGTTGCTGAAGGATGTGGTATGAATCTTACATATTTTTTGATAATTTTTATTGTTCACAATAATATAGGGGAATCTATTCGAGAGCATCTTGTTCATTATGAAGTACGTTTATGTAACTATTCAGCTGGTCTTACACACATCTTGTAGAAAAACTGTAGTTAAATTAACGATCCTCAAATCCTGCGTAGTTTTCAAATTTGACATCATATTTATAACGTCTTGATCAGTTATTTCAGTTTTTGTTTTCTCATTGTACATATATATCAATGTCGTTATTGTATCAGCTACAGTGTCTGTATCACTTGACTTCAATAATCGAAACAAAGGTTTTAATCCCAAGTGAGTTAAAATATAGTCTGCATTCAGTGGATCTGAAAAGTAGTGAAAAGTGATAATTCTTACATAAACATGTGAAATGTGAAATAGCAATATGATTTTATATAGTGTCAAATTTTTAAAGATGATTCTAGCGTTTTTCTAAATTTGGGATTTTACATTGCTTAGATGGGTGGACGAGCTCACAGTCCACCTGAAGTTAAGGGGTTGCCGGAGCTCATAGACATCTACAACGTAAATCTAAATCTTCTAATTATTATCTTGAATACTGTCAGTAGTGTGGTGGCAGCATGTGTTGGTACTACTGTCAGATATAACATTAATAAACCATTCCAGTCTAATGGGCTTGACTTTCCAATATAATAAAGAGAGTTCCAATTTAATGGTATGTAGGGACAGTTACACAATATCGAGGGGAAAATAGCTATTTGGTATAAGCAGCATTGCACTTAAAACATTTACAAGAAAACGGTGCAAGCTCACTACATATTATTGGACACTTTCAATTTTAATTTACTTTAAAATGCACTAAATCACATCTTATCAACACTCACCAATATTCAAATAGTTCAAGTATTTAATTAAATTTAAATAGAGCTACTTTGATAATCTTAAATAAATTATTGTACATAATAATATAAAGAATACTTTTATTGAACAGGTCGTTCCTATAAGTTTTCATAAAAAAATTGACAGTTTAATTGAACTTATAATAATTTGAGAAAAGTATTTATCAATTGTTATCAAAAGCTTACCTAAACACAAATTGCAGACACCCGCAATGGCATACCTTATTAATCTACCAATAGTTTCATTCTTCAGCACATACAAGAATATATCTAGTACTCCAACGTCTCTAATGTATGAGTAGTTCACAGGATCATATGCAAAATTTGCCAAATTGGCTAAAACTTGCAACTTTGCTTCTGTAAGGAAAAATAACATTAACAAATTGCAATGCCATGGAGAGAGCCGTGGAGAGACAGAGATAGAGAGAGATAGATTACTTTACTACACACCAAAACACAATCATCATTGTGTCACACAATCATCTCTTCTAAACAACCATTTTTATCTAGAGAAATTGTGAAAAAGATCCAGCAGGTATGTTATTGATTATTCAGAAACAGAGCAAACCTTTATGCACATTACTTAATAATGAAGAAAAAAAACTAATGTATGATACAATAAATATAAATATGAAATATACATATTAAAATCACTATAATCATATCCCATAAGTCACATACACAATTTAATTTTATTAAAACGAAAAATACCATTATCCAAACGCAATAGGGCTAGCTGTACTGTGAGTACTCTTTAGCATTAAGGTCGCCCTTGTTTGTGCAATAGTTTTCTAAATATCTAAGATTTTTAAAAGTAAAAACTTTAATGGCAATTGTGAAAGTTCATACGTAAATCGCATTAAAATTAATTAAATAGATATTGCATGTATATTTTATTACCATAGGAACTTGAGTGTAAATATTCGTCGACTAATAATGACAAATATGCCTCCCGATCAGTACCATCTTTTGGGGTACGTTTTTGTAAGTGTGCTCTTGAACTGAACATTAAATTATAGTAACTTAAAAGGTTATAGAAAAAATCCTACTTTGACTGGACCATTTTCATTTAAGTAAATACACATTCACTATTTTTCTTTTGATTCAATAATTCAATTGACACGCCATGACAGTTTTCTATGTTGTTTTTGACATTTGACAGGTGGCACAATGACATGCGGAAGGGAACATTTTACTGTCATTTACTTTAAAATATGTACCGTATTCAATCTAGTGGTCTACTACGTAGGTAGTGGCCGTTTTCCAATTACAGCACAAGAGCGCATTAAGCGGCATAATGCTCAACAGCAGTCACTGAGTCGCATTATGCTCTGTAATTGGAAAACTACCTGTATTAGTTTGGTAGTTTTTGACATTTAGTAATTGGAAAACGGCCAGTGTGGTTTAACAAAAAAACCTTCACTCCTCACGTTTCTACCAAAAAGTCAAATTATGTTAAAAAAAAATTTATAGCCTACACCTACTGTTGTTAACCTCGAGGGGTTATGCTGGCTTTACCTGTTCTGTGGCTTCAGCGGGCATGGAGGCGAGCTCACGAGACTCATCCTTGAATACCTGCTATCATATGCCTTAGCAAGAGCAGTTCTTCTCTGAATCTACTACCGGATTGCAGTCAAAACCCATAAGTAATTTAAGTCGCGACTCACTAAGATTTGGCAAGAAACTCGGCGGGCTGTATCTGGTAGTTTTCCAATTACAGCACTAGAGCGCATTATGCGGCATAATGCTCAACGTTGAATATTCCAACTACAGCAACGCTTCGCACAATCGAGCACTCTCAAAAGTACTGCCTGTCATCAGATATTTTATTAATGGCTCAAATAACTCATCTGTTTCATTATCATATATATTTTCAGTAAATATACTTGATAATGAAATAATTGATTGATTTAAACTCAGAGCACTCGATAACTCATCGTCATCACTATCATCTGGATAAGATGATTCAATTAAAAAGTATATAATTTTCTTAGAACTCATTTAAAAAAATTACTCAAAACGTAAATAAAATGTTAATGAAATAATCAAAATCCAAATTACTTAAAATAACCGTAAATTGTTTTCAACCAATTATTATTTACCACTTACCACATTATTTATACATTAATGAGGTTGCTAACTTCATGAATATTTTTTTTTCAACACTGATCTTAGCGCACTCTCCTGATACATTTGATCACGCGTAATTCACGTTCCAATTAAGCTTCAGCATAATTCGGCATTATGTACCACTGAGTCGCAATAAGCTCTGTAATTGGAAAACTACCTCTGTGGATTAATTTTCATGACGAACCCTGTTGTAACCTTCTTTTCCATATTCCATTATTTGAAATATACTTCAAACACATTGTCATTTTTGCTACCTATCATTATTATATTTTATGCTATGTCTTGAAAACATTGTTTTATTATATTGGCGACGAGTTAAAAGAAATTAAGATGAACGATGAACAATTCGCATTATTTTTACATGCACAACAAAACCAGCAAGAGCAGATTTTACAAATCTTGAAATTGTTGGTACCAGCAGTTTGCAATACAACAGCCAAGAGCGTGACGAACGACTCTTTTACAAAACATGATACGGATNCAGAACCGACAGAATTTGTCTCTCTAGTCGATCGCAGGCTACTGAGGGATCAAATGTTTTTATATAAAATAATAAATAACGAGATTGATTCTAGCTATCTTCTTTCCAAAATTTCATTTAAATGTAGTCGTATTTCCGCGCGTTCTAAACAGACCTTCCACATGTCCACGGCTCGAACGAAATATGCTTCTAACTCTTTTGTGCGTAGATCTTGTAGGTTGTATGATGCTAAGTTCTCTAATGCTGATATCTTTTACTTGTCACTTGTAGCATATAGAAAAGCTGTTTTGGAGTGTTTAAAGGGTGATTTGGCCCGATAAGTGTTGTAGTTTTATAGTGTGAGTTAATGTATAAAATGATATGTGCGTATTGTGTTGCTTTTGTTTTTTTGTAATTTGAATTTCTAAATTTCTCTTCTCTGTCTCTTCACTGTCTACTTATATGTGATTTTGATTGTGGAAACATATTTGGTTATTGTTTTAGCTAAATTTTTTTTAAATATTGTATGTTTTGTATTGTACTGTTTGTTTCCCAAATAAATAAATAAATAAATAAATAAAAATCACTAGTATAACTAAGCTAAAGAAGCGACCAAAATTTACCATAAATTTTTGTACAAAAAAGACGGCTTCGAAGTGAAGAAAACGATAAAACTATCATTAGAAGACTATCAAACGAAACAAAAGCATTAATTGATAACATCCATTAACAATAAAGGAAAACTTTTTATTATTTTACACTATTAAGGTCAATCCTATTACGGATTCAAATGAAATACTTAATGGTACAAATCCTTTCATTAAAATCACATTTACCAACAATACAACAAATTAAATATCAAATTAAACCACAAACTGCAAGCGAACAGTTTCAAGACGATATTATTTTAATTTACAAAGATCTTATTTTATTTGATACTGGAACGGGCTAATAATTTTATAAATTGTGTTTTATTGATCACGCCGTAAATATGACGAAGATTATTGTTTTAATTTTGCCATTGAGAGATTGTTTAAAGACTAGCCCACTGAGTTTCTCGCCGGATCATCTCAATGGGTCGCGTTTCCGACCCGGTAGTAGATTCTGCGAAGCACGGCTCTTGCTGGAGTTAGTGTTAGCAACGCCGTCAGGTTTGAGCCCCGTGAGATACGACACCAGATAAACCTTATGGATATACCTTGCTGAAATGATTCGATTTACAGTGAAGAAGCTCTCAGTATTAGATCGCAATAACCTAAGTATTTTAATGAGGATGCTATGGGACTGACGTAAATAGATCCTTATGGGTCGCAGTGACCAATTGTTTTGCAAAACCAGTCCCCCGTAAGATTCACTATAAAAAAAAAATGGTGTCGTGGGACACCAGGTAGGAACGAAGTTCCTTCGGTTAATGTAGAATCGACACAATTTGCAAAAAAAATCGTGCTCAATTTTATGTAGGTTTTTGCTGATTAGTTTTTATTTAAGTACAGGAAAGTATTTAGGAAATTCAGTATTTTAGGAAATAATACATTACGTAAAATAAAATAAAATCGTAATTCAAATTATCAATTAAAATAACAAAATATGTCTCTTTATTTTTGTTTGACAACATAAAATTACTTAGAAATAGAAATAATTACAAAATAGAGAGAGAAGGGATGAGAGAACGACAAGAAAGAAGGAGAAAGAGAAAAGTATTATACACTACTCGCTTGTGTATACGAATGTCGCGCCTGCGCACGTCTCATTTAACGGTTTTATTCCACGGACTTTTTCTTACCATTTTACTATCACATTTTTTTCAGTTCGGTCGCGTAGCAAAATCCCTATCTCCTCCAAGCCTGCCGTAAGTAACTTCGTTCCAATATTAGCCTATTATAAATATGTATTTAAAACGAAGTGCCTTCAGTGTTACCATTAGTATCGATTGTATTTTTCTTAGTCCGTCTGCATGATAGACAAACAATAAAAAACAGTAATGACGCAGCTGAAAGCTTTATATCCTTGAATGTTATTGTAGTTGAAGTTACAAGAAACTTACCACTTGGCTCGAGTCACATTACTCCGCCCTCAGACTGCGAGGCGAACCAAGCTTGTGTTATTTATACTGCCCAATTAAACAACAATAATGTTGTATTCAACTTTTACAGATCTTGGACAGCTGTTATTTTCTATGTTTAGTCGACTTTTAAAAAGAAGAAGGTTTGATTTTCGGCTATATTGTGTATGTTTGTCGAAAAATTGCTTTTTATTTTCCTTCTATTGTTAACTTTTATTGATGTATTTCAGTTTTAATTCTATTATATTTTTAAAACATGTTTATTTAACTTAGCCATCTTATTCTAGAATACTCGAAGATCGATCAGTTTACTAGCTAATTTAGTCTTAAGTGGTTGGTTACTGGAGTCGACAAATCATAATGTGATGGCACCAACCACTTTGAAGGATCGATGTCTTAGTTTTTGGGTATTATGGCTGCTATACACTTCAAGCTGGAACGCTTTAATATTATCTCAAATTCCTTACATTAAAAACATCTAAAAAAAATTTCTTTTTTTACTGGTGGTAAAACCTCTTGTGAGTCCGCGCGGGTAGGTAACACCACCATGCCTATATCTGCCGTGAAGCAGTAATGCGTTTCGGCTTGAAGGATGGGGCAGCCGTTGTAGCTATACTGAGACCTTAGAACTTATGTCTCATATTTAGGTGGCGTATTTACGTTGTAGATGTCTATGGGCTCCAGTAACCACTTAACACCAGGTGGGCTGTGAGCTCGTCCACCCACTTATGCAATAAAATAAAAAAAATACTCTGCTTGTACGTAATACTGGGGCAAACCAACAAACAAACTTTCGTATTGACAATATTTTACAATAGAAATGATAATTAAGATACATGCATAATAAAACCTAAAATAAATTAAATGCGATAAATTCTTCCCGATGTCCCATTTAATTCTAAACATCGGTACACTTGTTTAAATAGGTTGTAAACGGAATAACGTTTCTGAAGCCTTCCCCTGAAATAAGGGGTCCGACTCTTCTTAATTTACGAGGCGGGGTGGAGAGGTCGGTCCGCCACGGACACATCTGGTTTCCTTCAAGAAACATATTGTACCCTATGCTTCGTAACATTGGAAAGTAAGTTATTACAGTTTGAGAATAAAGTTATCATTAGTGACTTCGCATTGCTACGAATACTAGTGGTCCCCCGGTCGTCAAAATTCGACTATAATTCATTGAAATTATAAGTTTGTACACTATTATGATCCTATTGTCAAAGACTATTATACTTCTATAATCACAGATTTTGCCAAGACTATACTTTAGACAAATATGAATAAAGACAAACAATATTTAATCTATTCTCAATTTGACCACAGACTATAAGCAATAATAAAAAGTTTAATTTTATCAGAAAATTTGTAGGTGGTAGAAGCCATACTAAAAACTCTACGTAAATGATATTGTGTTAGTGCTTTCGAAAAACTGAAAACTAAAATATATTCTGCATTAAGTAGAAATAAAAATGATCAAAGT